CACCGCAGGTTAGATTACAAACAAGACTTGAAATTGGTTGTTCATTTACGTGCCGTAAATGTCATCCAGGAGTCAAGCGATGACGTAAACATTTGTGCGGCCCGTATGTTTTGAACGCCAGATGAAACGGAGGTGTCAGCGGTGTAACCACGGCCACGGACTAAACATGGAAATAGAGTAAAACACACGTACTAATCACGGACGCACGTGGACAGCCCGGACAAAAGGTTCCTTATCACGAGCGTCCATGTTTACGAAATCACTGATGATAGCATTGCGTACGGCCGAGCATGCGTGCGAAAATGTCCGGTGCACTATAAATCTGTATCACACCCGCTTCGCCGGCAGCGGTTTGAAACTGTAAACAACTGATTTTTGGACTGCGGATTTCAATTAGACATTTCTTAGTAACCAGCAGTGATAATGATATTGGACAAACTAATACGCGTTTGGCTATAAGGTAATGTACTTATTAACTACACAAGGTGCCGGTTACTCTAGCATTCGTCAACATTGCATAATCAATGGACCTATTATTCCTTTAACGTCAGACCTGTGTTTACTAGTCAACATCTAATGAAATACTCTCGGTGGCTGCAGCACGTATACATGACAATGGCTGATGCAGTAATATGTAAACACGAGACGACCGCTACTCGTCCTTTGTCTTCTAATCGAACCGCGGCAGTGTGTTAAACCACGTAGATCAAGGGGTTCTTAACCTGTTATCCATGGACGCCTTGGGGTCCGTGGATGGGCTTCAGGGGGTCCGTGAACCCCATTGTATGCAAAATTGTGTGTTTATGTGATGTGCTTATGTGCACATGTTTCTGGGGAGGGGTCCGTAGCTTTCACCAGATTCTCAAAGGGGTCCATGACTCAAAAAATGTTAAGAACCGCTGACGTAGATGTGGTCGGCATCGTCAGATTCTGACAGTGGCTACACAGCAGAGAGAGGATTAGATGCGGTAACTAAGTTCTAGCAGTAGTCACCTCGTGATAAAGTTCGTGATTCTGTACTGATAGTCTGATAGTGACGTCGATACCACAATCCACGTCGCGCCCTGGCACCAGCTAATGAAACCGTGTGGTGTATGAGAAATAATGATAAATGTCAGACAGTCACTAATATCCACACAGTAAACGATCAAGATGTGTGAAACAGAGATGATATCAGACATATAGAAATACATCCCCAGGGAAAGACCAAGCTGTGTGAAACAGATGATATCAGATATATATATATATATAACCTTACAATATTGTATATATATAGAAATACTTCCCCAGTGAAACATCAGGCTGTATAAGACTAGAGTTAATATCAGATATCCAACGATACCTCTCCACTGAAACACGAGGTTATATGAGACAGATAAGATGTCAGACATTCAACGGTAGCCACATAATAAAACCCCCACCCCATGCCGTACGGTATCAGCAGCACATGTACACCAGTAACACCCACGTGCACCGATAACAACAACAACACAACAACAACAACAACAACAACAACAACAACAACAACAACAACAACAACAACTAACTACGCATCTGTCGTTGCCGTCACGCGACCGTCACCTACGATGAGAGATCTTACGTGACGGTCGCGTGGCGGCTTTCTCTCTCTTACCTCGTTAATATGCTTGTAGGTTTTAATGAGGTCGACGCTGAGCTTGCGTAGGGGGGCCACGTTCGGATCGCGGAAGCTCTGCGGAATCCGGCTCTGCAGCAGCTGCAGATCGGGGTGCATCTGCGATTGCTGCTGCTGCTGCTGCTGCTGCTGCTGCTGCTGCTGCTGCTGCCCGGTCGCCATGGTTACAAACTGTAGCGGATCGGCCGTCACCAGTCTGCCGTACAGCGACGCATCACGTTTACACGTACTCTCTGTCAAAAAAGGCAAAACAATGAACGCAATTAGAGGCAGCAGAGCATCGCGACTAGCGGACGCACGCATCCCGGCGAGCAGCGCATCCTGACAAAATAGAATTGCCATTAATACGGGTATGCCGTGCGCCCGGAGCACAGGCGATGCATTTACGTGTAAATCATCCATCAGCATCGCTGAATGAAATGTTAATAAAAGGTAGCGATTGCGCCCGTGAATGGTGTGCGAGAGAAATGTGTCGGACAGAATGCATTTGCCAGCGTGCCGTTCAGTCTCCCTGTTTCGTCGCGTGTGTGCGCGCGTATTGACATTAGCCATTAGTATTCTAATGTTAAAAAGCCAGATTGCTGATTCGTGTATGACTCTGCACCTCTTCCAGACAGATTCACTATCGCAATTTCCTCTACCCAATTCCACCGTGACACCGTCACATGAATAATGATTCCCCGCACGCACATACACGCACACACTCACGCACACACGCGCGCGCACACACACACACAATTACATACGTAACTTCATGCTGCAATACGTACTTCTTGTTGAAATTATTGTGTGCAAGTAAACATATATATGTAGTTAAAAACGTCAACACACGTCTCTAAAAAGAAACGGTAGAAATTAAAACCAAACTGTATCGTTTGATTGTATGACATGTAACTTTGTATAGATATATAGTTTGATTAATTGTGTGTGTGAGGTGATGTGACATTTCTAATGCACGACGGACCAGTACGTCTGTGCGCTGCACTCGGACACCCGCGCACGCACACGCACGCACGCGCACGCACGCGCACGCACGCACACACACACGCATGATTCTCCCTTTACGTCATACGTACGAGATTTTACTACGCAACCAACCACTCATAATAACTCGTGATGATAAATCAAGCGTCTGGATTACCTGCCCCGGTGTTTTACCGTACACACACGTGCTATGAACCAGTAACACGGGGCTGGGGTGGGGGTGGTAGCTGGGACCCACGTGCGTAAAACTACGCTAGTAACCAGAGTTCAAACGTATTCCACGGACGAACATGCTTGTGGTATATGAATAGCCCCCGGTCAGTCAGTCAAGCAGGCAGGCAGGCTGCGACAGAGGGAAGGCTGGCAAAGGTGGGAACGGCCCACAACACAAGGACACCGTGTCAATGCACAGGGGCGAATACACTAGAAATGGGCCAAGGCCACCCGCATTCTTATATAAAGCGCATGAATATGTACCGCCTAAACGCTGATATCCCCAAGCTGGTTGCTACGGGTACGCGCCCGCCCGTGGCACAACGCACCGACCCCCGCACGCGGTGGCAAATGTCTCCAAGGCTCGCTCTCTCTGTCTGTCTGTCTGTCTGTCATGTGTGGCTGGTGGTGTGCAGGGACGGATTTCCATCTCTCGACCTGTCACTATGTAACAGCAAAGCGAAAATATCGCATATTTCTATCACCGCTCGACGAAACAGATACAGAAAACACGAGCCGGCGGAGAAAAAACCCGTGCCCCGCGCGTTCGCTCGAGCAGAAGAACTAGAACACGGTGATGGCTAATCTATGCTGGGTTACGGGACGGAAGGAAGTAAGGATGGGTGCAGTGTGCCGGGTGGGCTGCTGCTGCTGCTGCTGCTGCTGCTGCTGCTGCTGCTGCTGTTGCTGATGATGATGCTACTGTTGTTACTGGTGTTGTTGTTGTTGTTGTTGTTGTTGTTGCTGCTGCTGCTGTTGTTGTTGTTGCTGCTGCTGCTACTGCTGCTACTACTACCGCTACTACTACCGCTTCTACTACTGTTGCTGCTACTTCTACTACTGCTGATATTGCTGATATTGCTGCTGCTGCTGCTGCTGCTGCTGCTGCTGCTGCTACAGCTACTGCTTCTACTGCTGCTGCTGAAGCTGCACATACTGCTGGCTATGAGGGAGACTGCCTGCCAGCCAGCCAACCAGCCAGCCAGTAGCTTAGCTAGCCGCACAGCTGTGCATTTCTATGACTAAACATGGAGAGCACTAGCACCGCGGCGGCGGCGGCCGTGCCCCGACCATGATGATTATATTTAGATCGTCTGGCGCGTGTCTGCTGGAATCAATCTAATCCGCCGCTGCTGCAACCTTTAGTCGGCTGCGTGAGCGGCGGACGGGTCGCGACCAGCTGCGACAACACGCGCGAAAAACGCGCTGAGTTGTCAGTCTGAAAACAACGCTGCTGCTGCTGCTACCCCCCGCGCGCGCACGAGAGCGACTTCAGACCGAAGACAGCTGCGCCGATTCATGAATGCCCGAAACCCTCCAGAATGAAAGTGTGCGAGCGCTTGCGTGCGTGCATGCGTGTATGCACACTAAGCAGAGATGTCAGTGGCCTCCCCCTCGCTGCTGCAGAAAGAAGAAGAAGAAGGAAAGAGTTGGATTAGTGAAGGTGACCCCCCGCTCGATGCAAGCCGCGTGTCTAGCGCCGGCAGACGCGATGCTAGCAGCAGCCAGCAGCAACAGCAGCAGGCAGCAGCATCTTCTGCATCCTCCGCATCCATTAATACAGCACACTGCTGCCCGCCGACACAGTCTAGCCAGTAATTAGAGCGAAGACACAGGATAAACACACACACGCGCACGCGTGCGCTCGCTCGCTCGCTCGCCCGCGGAGCAGACATGCAAACGCATCGATCTACGAGAATGTGCATTATCAGCATCCTCAGCATCCTCATCATCATCATCATCATCAGCATCCTCATCATGATTAGCATCCTCAGCATCCTCATCATCATCAGCATCCTCATCATCATCATCATCATCAGCATCCTCATCATCATCAGCATCCTCAGCATCCTCATCATCATCAGCATCCTCATCATCATCATCATCATCATCATCATCATCATCATCATCAT